CTGGCAAACGGCAGGCTTGAATGCCCTAACAAGAGAGGGCTATGTGCAGGCAAAGGGCAGGCTGCAACCCTGGAACAGCAAAGGCTGACGGCCAGAGGGCTTGGTGGAAGCTGCCGCGAGGGATTTGGAGGGTTTTAAGAGTTTTAAGCGTTTGAAGCCTGGCAAACGGCAGGCTTGAATGCCCCAACAACAGAGGGCTATGTGCAGGCAAAGGGCAGGCTGCAACCCTGGAACAGCAAAAGCTGACGGCCAGAGGGCTTGGTGGAAGCTGCCGCGAAGGATTTGGAGGGTTTTAAGAGTTTTAAGGGTTTGAAGGCTGGCAAACGGCAGGCTTGAATGCCTCAATAACAGAGGGCTATATGCAGGCAAAGGGCAGGCTGCAACGCTGGAACAGCAGAAGCTTACGGCCAGAGGGCTTGGTGGAAGCTGCCGCGAAGGATTTGGAGGGTTTTAAGGGTTTTAAGTTTTAAAGGGTTTTAAGGGTTTGAAGGCTGGCAAACGGCAGGCTTGAACGCCCTAACAACAGAGGGCTATGCGCAGGCAAAGGGCACGCCAATGCTGGAACAGCAAAGGCTGACGGCCAGAGGGCTTGGTGGAAGCTGCCGCGAGGGATTTGGAGGGTTTTAAGCGTTTTAAGCGTTTGAAGCCTGGCAAACGGCAGGCTTGAACGCCCTAACAACAGAGGCTATGTGCACCAAACAGCAGGTTGCAACGCTGGAACAGCAGAAGCTTACGGCCACAGGGCTTGGTGGAAGCCTTGGACAATGTGAAGGCCATGGCCGTGACAAAGCAGGTTCCACACCTCCGGTGGTCCCAGGCGCCGCCCCTGCCTTGGCGAAGGCCGGGGTCGGCAGATTTAGATCAATAACTATGTTAGTTTACCAGAGGGTAAGCATCCAATTTTAGGGGTGCCCGAGTTTGACCAATCGCTTAATTGTAGCGATAATCGTGCCCAGCTCATCATGGAGGTTTGTGTGAAAATAGGGTAATAGCCACACATCTCCTGCCTCATCATCATTTTCCTCGTTAAAACGGTCATTTTGGCATATATTTCCATTTTTCTGACACCCATCGGTTTTTGGATTACCCTCGAGTAATTTGACATAGATGTGGAGAAACTACCATATGTAGATCATTTTCTAGAGGAATCTATGGGTTTTCCCCATCTAGGCTAATATACCAGAGTTACCATACTGGGTAAACTCGAGATTCTTTGAGCATTTCTACCCTCTTCTGGTGGCAGATTCTGCCGACCGCAGGTATCGTTGGATTTCTGTGCCCCTCAACAGGAGGAGGTGGCCTAATGCTGGACCCTGCACAGAAGATCACCAGAAACCAGGGAACTCATAGGATTTTATGGGATTGGAATGGAATTTTCATGGGATGTTAATGGGGATTTAGGATGATTTGCTTTTTTTTTGCATTTACGCAATAGTTACATAGTTTGGGTGATTTTAAACTATCACAATTTACATGAATAGCATCATAGGAGGCACTTTATCAAGCTTGCCTATCGGTTTCCCTGGTGTATTTGGGATGGTTAATCCAAATTACTACTGCGAAACTACCGCGGTTGCTGGGTAACTGGGTGGTTTTCGAGGTTGCTGGATGGTGTAATTTCTAACCACGAATGGTTCGGGACACGTGATACCCTCCTGAAAATGAAAGTGTTGGTGAAGTATTTGTGGCAGAAAAGCACCAATGCTTGCAAACATACTTATAAAATCTTACGAACATCAGCAGCATGCTGGAAAGCCATCCCAGCGTCAGAAGATTGCCAGTGGGTCAAAAAAGTCAAAAGGTTCTTGGATTGTACTTGGATAATGCATCCTATCTACGTAGTAAGCGGGTAATAACCATATGGAACAAATCAGTTTTATGCGGGATATACGGCAGTTAGATCCATTGCTTATACATGCATATTACCAGTAGCACCGCACAAGGCGGTGGCGGAAGTTGCAAAGATAGGACACTATAGGAGAGGTGAGTTGTTGTGATGCATGGATGGTAGAGCGAATCCACTGATGGACCGAAAGGTGGTTGGAGTTGTGTTTTTTGGAGTGGTTGCAATGGTTGCAGTGGTCACCTCACCCACAACTGCTGGATGTAGAGCGGTGTAGTGCAGCTGTAGTTGTTGTTGTAGTGTAGCGGAGTTGTAGTTGTAGTGTAGTGTAATTAGTGTAGTGTAGTTGTACTTGCAGTTGTAGTTGTGATGTGGTTTAATGAGTGTAATGTAATGTAGTGTAGTGTGCTATACTGTCTTGTTCTGTAGTGTAGCCTAGTGTAGTGCAGTTGTAGTTGCAGTTGTAGTTGTAGCTGTCGCTGTCGCTGTCGCTGTCGCTGTACTACTACTACTACCACTACTACCACTACTGCTACTAGTAGTAGTAGTAGCAGTAGTGGTAGTAGTAGTAGTAGTAGTAGTGGTAGTAGTAGTAGTAGTAGTAGAAGGAGTAGAAGGAGTAGTTGTAGTTGTAGTTGTAGCTGTAGTCGTAGTTGTAGTGTAATTAAAGTAATTCGTGTAGTGTACTGTAATCAGTGTAGTGTAGTGTAATTAGTGTAGTGTAGTGATTGTAGTGCAGTTTAATTGGTGTACCGTAGCGCAGTTTATTTGTATATATATATATATATTATTTCTAGTGTAGTGTAGTGTAGTTGCAGTTGTAGTTGTCTATCTATCTATCTACCTATCTATCTATCTATCTGTCTATCTGTCTGTCTGTCTGTCTATCTAATTTATCTACCTATCTACCTACCTACCTAGCTATCTATCTTTCTTTCTATCTATCTGCCTATCTGTCTAGCTGCAAGTTTGGAAACGAAGCTATTCTGCGAGACTTCCTCAATTTTTGAACTTGACAACATCAGAAGCGCAGCAATTCTGCGAGAACAATGTGAATAACGAAGCAGTTCTGCGAGATTTCCTTCAAAAATGGAAAGTTGAGTGCAGAGCTGACGGCCTCGTACCAATGCGTTTTGCGATTTTTCCAGTCCATGTCTCTAAAGTGCTGCGCCTGCCACGAAAAATTGATGCCAGATTATACGAAGTGCTGCACTTGTCACGCAAAATTACCTTAGCAAATCTGAAGATCGGATGCTCCAAAATGCAACCCGTCTCGGGAAATCAGCGCCCCGACCTCCTAACATCTCTGATGAACATGTCTCTTGTACTGCGCCTGCCACGCGACATGCATCTTTGCGGATCCTCTTCACATGTCCCACGCTTGCCATCGTTTTTGGACATGCTACAAAACCTTCAAGTTTTGCTTACTTTTGGCAAGGTGCAGAATCCATTGTGCCTGTCACACGAAGCCACGCTTCAACGTCCAAAAGTGGCGCGAACATGTGGTGTTTTTGACATTTGACTTCGCAATGTGCTTCGTGCCACAATGCCGTGCACTTTTTCGACATCTCAACTTCCATTAGTGGTCCGACACTGAGATGTTTTGTACATGTTGACTTCGAAGTGTGCTTCGCGCCACAACGGCGTACACTGTTGCGACATTTCAACTTCCAAAAGTCCTCCGAACCCGTTTGAAAAATGGTCCGAGCATGAGATGTTTTGCGCATTTTGACTTGGAAATGTGCTTCGCGCTACAACGGCGTGCAATTTCTCATCTCTCATCCGGCCAGATAGCTCCGCACCCGAGCCACAAATCATTGAAAAAACGCTGTGATTCGCGACTTTTCTACCTTTTCCCGCACCTGCATCTTCTTTCTTCTGACTCTTTCTCTTCTCTGATCTTCTCTCTGGATTGCAAACCACTTCCCAAACCACTTCTCATCTATTTTGGAATAGTTATTTTTCCATACCATTTCCCATCTACTTCCCATATATTCCCATGTTATGTTGCATTATTTTGCCAATATGTTTCCCATGTTCAAGATTCCGGGGGTGCACCAGTATTATGTGGATCCAACCAGCCAGTAGTTGTTGTGTGTTTCATTCATCAGCCCTTTTTTGGCAACACATTCTTCGGTCTCTGACATGAGAGACGATAATCCAATGATATTCTGATATTCCCATTAAATAAATAGAGAGAGAGAGATATATATATATTTATCTCTCTCTCTCTCTCTCTTCCTCTCTCACCATGAGTCTTGATTTTATGGCCCCAATTTTGGTTACTAAATCATCACTT